TTGGTCCCTGGTTTTGTCATCAGCTTTTTACCTATGCTGTGTCGTGAAAGGCTGAGATCAGTAAGAATTTTTGGCATCTGCCAGGAAAAAAAATAGATGTGGTGAAATTTAGCTTCTATTGGGCTTTGTTATTTCTTTTTCCTCCCCTGTAAAATACAATAATTTTGAATAAATTTGTTTCATATATCATGGTAGCAGTTCTTCAGGACTGCATGTGTTTGATTTCAGAAGTGATAATAGATTAGCTAACAGGTATTTCAGTTGAAAATGAAATTTACTATATCAACTCAAAGAATTTTACTTTTGTGGAAGCAGCACAGCACCTTATTTTTCTGTGGTACCACTGTTTCTAATCACTCTCAGCTTTGGAAGTGCAAATTCTTTAAAGAAGGGTAGAAATGCAAAGATATTTTCATGTGGAAATGTTTTCACATTTAATAACCTTCCCTTCAACAAAACACTAAGAAGTCAATAATTTGCTGATTACAAAATGTGCCTGTTCAGTTTTGGTTTAAGGTGTGATTCAGTGCAGGACATGACATACAAATGGATGGAACTGACTCATGGAGAGGCCCAGAAAGGGGACAGGATAATGGGAATGACTTCAACATTTACAGGCATTTCTTGCTCCTCAAAGTGCCTTGTCCAATGTGGAGTACCCCTGGGGCTCTCTGTTACCTGGCATTCCTTTCTTGCTCGTGCCGGGTTTGTGCTCTGGTTGCATTGCTCTGACCCACCTGCCCCAGCTTTAGACCACTGTCTCTGTAATGAGGCAGAAATCCAGCACTTTGGAAAGAGGAAAATCCAGTAAAATTTCAACAAAAACACAGGGTCTAATGCAAACAGTAACAGTTGTGGTGAGCATAGTCGAATGAACTTACACTCCAGCGCAGCTTTGCTAAATATAGCTGCAGAGGACTTGTTGTCTGCGGGCACTGGTGTCGGAGAGCATTGCCATCTGCAGCTGGGGAAGCGGCACAAACAGGGGCACAAATCACAAATAAAAGAGATGGCAGTAGGATTACAGACTGCCAGAGCCCTGGTCCTGTACTCGGCTCAGCTGGGCAACCTTCCTTCTTGGAGGGGTGGATGGTCTTTCATTTGTGCTGTCCTTTCCATTGCAAACGTGGCATTTTTCCCTTTTGTGCCTGGAGAGACTCTCTAAGACTTATTTCAATAGGAACAAACTTGTTTTGGTGAGAGAGGGTCAGTGTACTGCATGCTTGTTGTTCAGCAGCCCTTGGACAGCCAATTCTAAATATGGAAAAAAGCAGGGTTACATTTGCTCAGTGTTGGTGCATTCAGGCTTGTGCACTGTTCTCCCCTGCTGACCCTCGGGCGCAGGACCGCCCAGGGAATACACCTGTGGCCTCCCATGGTGGAAAAGAGCAATGTGTCCAGGGGAGAAAATCCTGGAGAGTGCTGATGCAAACAAGAGACCGAGATCCTTGGGTGCAGTGAAATGAATGCAGCCTGGGAGGAAGGGAGTGAGAAGGAGGGCAAGGGCTGGGGACCAGCTGTGGGATGAAGCTGAGGAGCAGAGCTGGACAGAGTGCTTGGGAGCAGAGCCAAGGCCAAGAGCCATAGCAGCAGACAGGCAGGCAGAGCAGAGGCCTGCAGGGAGCTGCTCAGTGGAGATGCCACCTTTCAGCTGTGTGACATTATGTGATGGTGTCTTGTCCCAGCCATCCTCAGAGTGCCCTGCAGCCATGTGCTCCTTCTGCTCCTGCACATCCTTAGTGCCGGAGTCTTGTCATCGTCTGTTCATCCATTAAACCCACTGCCAGCCTTGCCACCTGTGCAAGGAGATCTACATTTGCAGAGGCTTTGGAGAGTGGGTAGAAAACCCAACGCATTCTCAAAGTCTGCTCAAGGGACACTGTGGGTGAGACCCTTTCCCCTCCTTGAGTATGCTGGCTTTTCAAGGGAAGAGTTAGTTAAAAACAGAAAGATACCAGAAATCCTTTCTTCCCAGGGCAAGAAAATTTAATTCCTGTTACCCTGTTGATACTCTCAAAAAGCCAAGACTAAATGCAGCATTGCACTGTGGAAGAACATGAGCTGGGTGGACCTAATTGCAAAGGGGTTTGCGCCTTAGATGATAGATGTAGAATTATCACATTCATTTGCAAAGGAAGGAAAGACATAGTCCAAAGGTCTTAGTATTGTGTTGAGAAAACTGAGTGAATGGTGATTTATGATAAGAACAGAGTTTAAGGTCACCTAACCTTTGGTGAGCTGTGCTTAGTATATTTTTAGAGCTTACACAATGAGTTCAATGTAGCTTTGAAATGCAATAGTTTCACATATGTCGTAATAATATTTTAATGGTTAATGAGCTATTGTTTGTAATCTAAAGTCTGTCAAAAAACACAAATAAATATGAATAGAATTAATCCTGGTAAATAAAGCACAGTACTTCCCTGGAGTATGTGATAGACTTGACTTCATTCCACCTCAAAATGGTGAAAGTGATACTACATTGAAAATTATGGAGATTTTATATTTTCCTTTTGCATGTTTTTTATAATTGGTGACTTGGGAAATGATGGACAAGATTATAGAAAGTTTAGTGATTATTCCAAATTAATTTACTATTTGCTTCTGGAAATGGAAATATTTTCATGCCAAATAGTCTCAAAAGCTCATTTTTTTGTTATTTTTTTGGTGGAGTCAGTGTTCTGGGGAAGGAGTCAGTATTGTTTCTGCTCAGAGTAATTCTTTAATGGTGAACTTCAAAAGACTGAGTCTGGATACCAGTTTGAATAAAAGATTATTACAGACAAAAGATTACACTTGATTTTTATCTTTCACACTTTGGTGTCAAAGAAATAGCTAGTTCCTGTAATTTCATTCCATTAAAGATGATACAAGTTTATAAACTAGTGGAAGAAACTTCAGGGCAGGAGTGGGTGCAGGTTGCATGAGCCATGTCTGGAATTTATAGATTGAGGTATTGATTTGCATGTGTATGTAGTACCATGTGAGTGGAAGAGTAACCAATAGTTAAGCACCTAGCACCTGTTTTTAATAGTTTCATATCTAAAATGGCATTGCCAACTTGAACATACCACAGAGGAGCTGTGGTTCTCTTAAAAGAGCAATAGTAAAAGAAGAAATCAAAATTTTTACTCAGGTTATGTCTGGAATGTGTGAGACTTTGCTGTTGATGAGCACAGGAAGTCAATAGGAATTTGTTTAGCAACAGTTTTAAAGAAAATTTTTTTCACATTTTATGATATTCAAATAAAAGCAAACGCATTTTTTCATTAGAACATTTTAATGAAGTGGTATCTATTGTTACTGTCTGGTTTGTGAGAAGCCGATGCTTACAACGGAGAGGGAGCTTGTTTCACTACCTTGAACACACGCCAGAAGTGTTCAAAATGGGAAGAAATGTGCTTGAAAAGTCAGTGGGTTTGAACTTTAAAGGCTTAAGACCTCTTGCCAAGTCTGTCACTTCTTCCCTGTGTAAATATGGGAATGTTATCATTTGAAGTGCTTCAGTCTTGCTCTCCTCACTTAAAAACACGGATATTTTAGCTGACTTCTGTAGAGCAGTTTGAGATATGCTAGTGAAGAGTATAGGTGTTATTTTAAGGACTGTTTTTGAAGCAGGGGCGAGAGGTTGGCTCGGGACACTGGCAGAGAGGTTTGGAGAATTTTGCCTCCTTATTGCTTACTGGAACCATTCTCAAGAAAAGGTGTTTCAGCAAGATGTAGCAATTAAGGATGTTTTTATGTAGTTATTGATTTCAGACCAGCAGACATTGGTGCTAATTTAGCACCCATTTACCAGAGCAGCTGGGATTGAAATGACTGTGTTATTCCCTTGGCAATTGGTGTCCTGAGGTAAAGGTTGAGCACAGGGATTGAAGAGCACAAACAGGCTCATGTTGCCATGTCCAGCTGGACACTGCAGTCAAAGCTGCTCTTCTTTTTGTGGTTTCCACCCTCCTAAGCCCTCAACCTTTACCAATGTACAAGTCCAATGTTGCTAGTGAACTTTAGCTGCATGATGAGTTTCACAATAACAGATAGGCCTATTGAAAGGGCAAGGAATATGGTGTTATTTAAAAAATCTTTGAATTGTAAAAGCTACCCCTCTTTTTAGTTTCTGGAGTAACTTACAATGAATACAAGTATATATGCATGTACTATATTCAATATTTAGCTCCAGAGTCAGGACTGTATCTCTGCTTTGGTGCCAAACTTCTCCCAAACCCAAAGCAGACTAAAAGTATATGTTTTGTACTACATGACTAATTATGTGTCTTTTTTTTGTTAGAAAACTGTAACAGCAAAATGTTTTTAAATCTTTATATTAAAAAAACACAGCTTATGTGGGGAAGCTTGAGATGTAGTGAAGTGTCACTTCAGTTGAATTTCAGAAATACAGATGTTTGTTTCCAATTTTTTTTTTGATACTTCAGTGGAAAGCCAGACAAAGAGCCTTTCTTATACTATTTTCTAGTGGATCTGTTGTAGATCTGTTTTGTTTTGGTTTTGTTCCTCTGTACTACTCAGAAATTAGCTAAAACATTTATATTGCAGAAATGATATAGCAGCAGTTCAAGTCTTTTGTGCTTTACATGCTCGATTAGAAAAATCCCATTAATGATGGAAAATGCTAATCAGTGATGTGTTTCACCAGCCACTACAAGCCCACGCATTCTATGTAATCTATTGTTTATTAACCTAATGAAGGTCATTGCAACTTTTGAAAGCTTGTGTGCAGCAAATCAAAATGGTTTCAAAACTGTGCTTCTGGACTTTGGTGCTGAATTAAGTCAAGTTTGGGTATTTTCTTGCCAGAATGACTCTGGCCTAAATTGGGTGTTTTCTCCGTGGAATGATCATTCTGTGCTTTTCATTTGTTCATTTTAATTGTCAGGACAGATGAACAGTGGAGTGGTGGCTAAGTTGATGGTGCTGCCATTAAGCAGCTAGACACTGTCTTTATCCACATCTTATTGATTTTTCTTTTCTTTTCTTGGCAGGTGACATCACACAGAAGGGATATGAAAAGAAGAGATCAAAATTAATTGGGGCCTACCTGCCACAGCCTCCCGGTATGTGTATCTGTGCTTGCGATATATGAAGACGTCAAGTGTACTGATAGTTGCCACTGTAGAAATCTGCATCTCTGAAGAAAGACACGTGGCAGAAACAAAGCTATTGTTATGCAGAATAAGATTATTCCATCCATTTTATGTGTATTTTTATATATATGTCCGCTTTGAGGTGTGTGTACATTTTTTACATACATTGGTGTGGGTTTGGCAGTCATGTCTGGAAAATTACAGCAGCCTAGGCTTGTTAGAGAGGCATTGTTTGTTGGAGGGAACACAAGAATCCAAAGGAAAACGTGATGTCCTAACTCATTAACATCTCAGCCATGGGAAGTTTTCTGAACAGAAGTATGCACAAACCTTGGATCTTTGTAACTTCCTCCATTTCTAGGTTTCCTGGCTAAGTTTCACATTTGAGGATATCCTTAGAGTTTAGCTTGTTCAAAGGTGTGCAGGCAGCTGACCTTTTACACATACCTGGTTTTAGCACTAAGGATGGGCATGCACTTGCCCAAAAGGTGTAAAAATACCTTCAAACTAAATTTAATAATGTATTGCTTCATTGAATTTATTTCATATTTATGTATAAGTACTTTCCTGAGTTCTTTTACTCTTGTGAGGCACTGGATAATGAAGTTCAGTGTGAAGTTGTAGGTATTGGTGTAGACCTCTCTTCTGTCTTGGTTTCAGAGCAATGTGTCTGTGCATTTCTGGTCCCACCAACCTTACAGAGGCTTCACTTGGGCTTGGCTGTTCTCTGAGCCTTGTTTTTGTTTCAGGCCTCGGCAACAAAAGTTTCTCCTTCTTTTACAAAATCCTTCCTTTTTAGTGGAATTGATGGGGTTTTATTTAAACTGCTGATGTATGAAGGCACTGTCTTGTTCTCTCTTCATGAGGTTTATATATCTATTTTCTAGCTCCATAGCAGGATGCTGATTTTGTGCCTTTGGATTTCACTTGGTCTGCTCCAGTAGCGGGAAATCCACAACAGAGATCAGTGTTACAGACACCTCTGTTTTCTAAAGTGATACAGCCTGGTTTGAGGGTGTCTGTGACATTCCTAAACCATTGGGAGCCATTAGAGAACAAAGCAAATCAAATCAACAGAATTACAATACCAGAGGTGCAGTATATTAAACTTCTAGGTATTTATTGCTCCAGCCTAGCTATCAGACATACATTAGTCTTCACAGCTGGTTCTCATGAGACCTGCTTAGATTTGCTGGTTATGGAAAGCCTCACAGCAGTCCTGAATGCAGAGGCACAGTTGGTACCAGAATCTATTTTTTTTGGTTGTTACTCTCCTTTCTTCACACAAACAAAAAGAGCTCTTTCTCCAGAAAGCTCACAGTCTTCTGGTCAAGCTATATCCATGGCTGAAACTGCTGGGGGTTCATATGCATGTGATGGTAAAAGAGAGAACATGGAGAACCCTCACAGATTTACCTGTCTAGATCCCTACTGTGATACTTAAGTTTTGCAGTGTAAGGAGGAGCAGAGGGATCTCTGCTCAGGGTAAGTCAGCCCTGTGGTGAGGTCCATTCAATAATTTTAATAGAGCTGACTTAGAGCTGTTTTAAAGATGGGACAAAATGGAATAAGCATTTTCTACTCAACCAGTTGCTGGAAAATCTCTCACAAGGAATGTGGAATATGGACAAGTGAAGGTAATAGGATAAAAAAAAAAAAAATTGAAATATTATCCACTGTTTTCTTGTAAATATATTAAGCTCAGTCATTTAGCTGATGGCTAAATGGATTATTTTATTATAGTGGAAGACACTGCTTCTGCTGTATTAAAGTATTTTCCTCCATAAATGGATATTATTTGTACTTGGGTCTTTTGCTGTCTTTGTACTTTTTGTTTGTTTTGTTGTGTTACCTTTTGGACAGAACTTGAAAAGGTTTGATTTGATATAATCCTTCTAAGACCTTACTCCTCTGAATGGCTTTAAGTCCCTGCTCACTAGGAAGGGGGAGATTAATTCTTTTCAAGAAGAAGTAGGATGACAAAACAGATTCTGCCTTTTGTAAGCCTCTGTTAATATCTCAACAATCACATACATGACCAATTAGCCTTTTTTTAAAAAAAAATAATTAACCTGTTTTGATGGGGAATGCAAGGATTTATAAGCTTTGATGGACTTGGATCTTGGTGTTATAAGGGAATAGAGGTTTTAGGGATATTTTAAACCAGTATGGAAATGGACATGACTTTTGCTGGGGTTGGAGGAACTGGGAAAGGGCAGGAATTTGCTTTCTGTGTTCAACAAACTAAAGGAAATCCAAAAGCATTTCCCCTCTGCTGGGACATCCAGTCCTCCTGCTGCACCTTTGCTAACATTCCTAACGCCCATGTTGGCAGAGTGGAACATCGACCCGCGTTGGCTCCGTGGGTGTCCTGTGGTGTCTGTGCGTGCGTGTGCGTGTGTGCTCTACTGCATGGGGGCAGCAGCTCCACTCGTTGCTGTAACAAATGTAAAAAAACTAAACATGAATTAATTAGTTTTTTTCAACTTGTTACAGCAGCGAATGGAGCTGCCGCGGTACGGTGTAGACTGCAACACAGTGAAGGAGCTGCCAGAAGAATGCTCCGCACTGCCAACATTGGTGTCTGTGACATCCGGGAAGCGGCCGCTAGAGAGAGAGCAGCCAGCACAGCAGGAAACCGGCCTCTCTTTTATTTTCGTTTTGGTGAGCACGATGAATGTATCTTTTCCAGTCCGTATCTGTATATAACTGTGCCTCATCTGGAAGCCTCTGGTAGACGCCTACCTCAGTAGGATGGACATGGGGCTGCCGGTTGCGAGGCAGGACAACCAAAGGATGACATCTGCAAGGCCGTTGCTGATTTTGTCTGCCTAAGAGTGAAGTGATGGGAAAGGAGAAGGAATAGCTCTTCTTAGTAACATTTGAGCATATTAACACTTCTCTAGCTTCCATACCGTGGATACTTTGGAGGAGGTTGGATACAATAAGCTGGTGAAACGCAGGAATGCATGTGTTTCTAATTCCCTTTTTGGCACTGCCTTTTTACAGACCTCTAAACAGGCCCAAGCTCACCAGATTCCGGAGGAAGCTGTAAAAGTCTAAGCATGCCTAGTTCTATGCTATTTTCACATAGAGATCTTTGCTTGAGCTCTGCTCACATCCAAGCCATTCAGAAGCAGACTGACTTCCAGGAACAGGCATTGTGCTGGTAGAGCAGGCTGAAGGAAGAGCATTCCACAGGGTTACATCTCAGCAAGGCAAGGCATGACTCCAGCCATGCCTGGAGAACTGTGGCCTTCCCAGATACCCATCCCTCTGGCAGGACCTGTTGGCAGGGCTGGTGGCAGGCATTCTCTTTTATCCCTGCATTTGTAGCAAGGCTGAAGAGGATCCACAGCCTCTCAAGACACCAGATTTTCTCTTGCCAACCATCTGTACATGGAGGACATCACACTCTAGCCCACGTGCTTGTCTGCACTTGCACAGGCTGTCCAGACATGTTGTAAGAGATGGCTGGAGGGAGATAAGATTTGCAGTTCTGTCAGAACAAGACATACCTGTAAAAAGATTATCTATTTCAGAAACCTTTCTCCACTCATTTTCAAACCAATTTGCTATAATTCTACGGAGGAGACCTATATTGGATTCTGACTGTGTTTGTATTTCTTCTCTTACACAGGGCTGCTCTAGGTCAGGTCCCCTCAGTCTGAAATGGTTAACTTCCTCTGCCTGAGATTTTTTTTCAAAATGGGAAGGATTTAATGTAAATTACAATTTCAGATTTAACACTATTAGTGATATTAAACCATGTGATAAATGTAACCACTAAAAGGGCTGCAGACATATGAAAAGACATACGTTGTCTTTTTGTCATGCTTATTGGGATGCTGTCATTTTAGAAAGGGAGAGCTGTTACTTTTCAAGAGTGGGATTAATGAAAGGTAAAGACTGGCAACCAAGTGGTTGATACTCCTCCAGGTGATGTAGGGGTTGGCTCTTAGGCTCCCTGTTTCTGACAGGACAATCCCACAGAGTGTATTGTCACATGTGTACAGGAATGTGCAGTGACACACAGGGGATGTGCCAGATCCACTGCACATCTGCAGACTGACTCTGCAGTGCATGCACAGTGGGTCTGACACATCCAGATGCTGCACAGGCTGCACATATGCAGAGGACATTTGTACTGCTCCAGCCAGGCTGTTGAACATCCAGAAATCCGGAACGGATATGCTGCATTTGGCAGTGTTAATGGAGAAGGGGTGGGGGGAGCTCCCTTCTTCTTTCCCATTAAATCCCCACCTGCTTTAAGTCAGGGAGACAAAAGTACAGCTTTGTTTTCTCAAGATGCTTTTGTCAGGATGTGAGTTTGTAGCTGGAGATGTTCTGTGTGCAGAACAGTTTTTCTTTTCTTAGCATGCCCATGTGTCAGATATCTAAAAATAATAGTGAATCCAGACCTTTATATCTGTACGTATATCCCAGTCCCTCTTGTGTGGTGACCTTTCTCTTACTGCCTCTGTAGAGGAGCCATGACAGCCAAGGGCTGAAGTAACCACTTAAACAGGGATTTATTTCAGAATAACATTCTGAATTTTATCTTGATTTAATCATTGTTCTTGATCATTGATCTTATTAAGATAATGTGGACAACTGCATGCACACTATAAAGAGAAACCCTCCCTAGAAGAAAAAAAAACTAAATTACCTGTATTCCCCATAAGCTGTGGTTTTACCCAACTTGCTTCCAGTGTTTTGACAGGAAATTTGATTATTCCTTCACAGAACGGAGACAATGTTGTTATCAATTAAGCATTGCTTCTAACAGCTTAGACATGGGTGGTTCATTCTCTCTTAATCAAGTGCTGTGTCTCCACTAGATTGCTTTCTGTAATTTCCCATCATTGATACCACCAGTGTAGCTCTATTTGTAGTGTAACCATGTGGACCAGTCATCAGTGCTTTATTTATTATGGTTAATAAATCTGTGAGATGTGGTGCTTAAAAGGCACCTGCTGCTCCTTTCACATGCCTAGAGACAGATCCCTGCACCTCCTGCTGCTGGAGCCCCAACAGCACCAGCTTGGGAACATTTCAAGCTATGCAGGGCAGAAAAGATAATACATTTGTGCAGAGGATCCCTTTGCCTCATGAAAAGGCAATTTTCTGTAGAATTACAGGAACCAATTTCCATAGCCTCTCTTATTAGCATGACATATATATATATATATCTGTTCTCTGTGCATATATTTGCATACTTTCTATGTGTATGTGTGCATGCCTTTGCTTTCAGCTATTCCTGCTGCTAAGTCTTAAGGCACTCCAAGTAAACTGAGTGATTACAATTTAATTTTTTCTTACACAGACATTATTTGTCAATACAAATACAATCCAACATTATTTGGACTGCAAAGATTGCAAGGAAATATTTAAACAAAATTTGATTCTGAAAAAGTACTCTCATGTATTCATTTTATTAATACTAACAAGTATTCCTATCACATCTGCCTTCCTAATTCTCCAAGATCTTACCAAGGGATAACCATGATGGGACATTTCAAAGAGTGTATGTGTTGAGAACAAGGATCTCACTGGAAGGCACGTGCATTGCACAACATGTGGCACATCCCTGAAGCAGTGAGACAGATGTTTCACAGATGAGAAACTACAGCACACATACAAATGCCTAGTAAGCCTTGGTCTTAAAAGAGAGTTTGATTTTGAATTGGTGGACGCCTGCAGAGCTTAGTTTGGATAAAAAGGAAGGTACCGAAAGAGAGAAGAACCCCTTGAGGCCATCACTTAAATATGATGGCTACTATTTTGATTTTGTCACCATGACTAAGAGTCCAGTAACCATTTTATAATTCTTTGGTTTTTGGTGGCATCTCTGTTTTCTATCCTGTACCAAGAGCTCATATTATTAAACTTTGTTCAAACACAGAGCGAAAAATACCTTCCTTCACTTTTCACTAATGAGTACATGATGAAATCAGTTAGTAATTCAGGTAGTGGTTTCAGCACTTGGTTTGGTGTTTTCTGGGGGGAGGATATTTTTGGTAAACATCAGAGTTGGTGTATTTTTCAAAGAATCTGAGGATTTCTGAGGAAATACCCACTGATGTTCCTGGAGGCCATCTGCAGAACATAAGAGCATGGGAGGAAACACGAAAGTGTTGGTCTAAAATCTGACAAATGGGTGAGGAAAGATGTCTCAATCAGAGGTGAACGATAGAGAGTAGAAAAGAAAAATGCCATTGAGGGTCTTAAAGCTTAACCCAGTGCAGGAGCAGAGGAGGTGGAACCTGTGGAGTTGTTTGAAGAGCTGGGTGCCACTGTCAAGATGAGAAACTGCTGGAATTCACAATGCTGCCTGAATTTGTCTGCAGTGTGATTTGACCAGCCCATTGGTGAATATGTTTGCTTTGTGAATAGGTAGTCTTCTTTTACATATTCTCCAAAGAGAATCTTCAAATGGAACACTGAAGCTGTCTAAAGGAAAATGGAAATCAAGCTTTACATATGCACTGGAGGTGTAATGGGATGTCCACCATCACTGGGATAAAGAAGAGAGAAAAAGAAGTCTGAGATGTCCATGCTAAGCTTGAATTGAAAGCTAAACCTTTCAAGGAAATGCTGGAAGGCAAAACTGAGATTGTAATAAGGAAAGAAAATTTGAAGTTTGTGCACTGTTTTAAGTCAGGCCAAGAGTAAGTTCACCTGTAAAGGAAAATTTTTAATTAAACAAATCTAATCAGAAATTACATTTTTCCAGATTTATCTAGCAGAACATGGCTCCACTTTCCTGGATGTTTTTGGTTAGAAGTATTGAATTTTAAATCTCCCTTGGCTTATCCAGTGAATTAATTGCTTAGTTGTACATTTGATGGCAAGAGTGAAATACCACGCTAAGTAACAAGTTCCTTGGGCATAGTGTGACATTTAGCATGTTTACAAAATACACTGTGTGTTTACACCTGACTGCTTTTAAAGCTGAGCCATCAGCCATTGAATAGAAGCTCAGGAAATATTGTGAAGGTAAATACTGTTTCTTAAAACTGCACTGCAAGCACTGTGTGCCTTCCTTCCCACTGGCCCTGGAGTTGTTTGGTTTATCCTACAGCTCTGTCTTCTGGGGGCACACACTCTAAGTTAGTTTTAGAACAATAAATGTAGCCTCTGTCTAAGAATGCCTTCTATTTCTTGTTAGTTAGACATTTCAGCTTTTAAATATTTTTAGATTAAAAAATTTGGCACAGACATAGGAAAAAGAGATACATCAAAGCAGCTTGTCAGCTGTCATTAAGGAAATAATTGTCCTCTGTTGGAGAGGGCAGTGCAGCTATTGCCATATTATCAGCACATAGTGTTGCAATTTTGCTACAAAAAAAGTAGTAAAGAAAGGAGGAACAAGGAGGTGAAGGGGGAAAAAAAATTTAAAAAGAGGTGAAACCTGCTTCCAGCTGACAGTTTTGTACGTTCCATGCACTTAAAGCTATCCAGCTTGCAGTGGTATTGCTTAAACAGCTTTACTGATGCTCTTGCATTTCTAGCTCAATGCAGTCAAGACAGGATCCAGCTTGCAGATTAGGATTTGTGGATTGATATATCTGCATTAAATTGTCTGCCTATGGACCTTATATTTATGCTTCCATTCTTATGTGAAGAGATATAGTTAATTCAGTTGATGAAACCCAAAGAGCCTTTCAGTTTATTCCAAAGCAGATATCTCCTTCTGACCACTTGCACAGCTCTCCAGGCTGCACTAGACTTATGGAGCTGCCTGAAGTTGGGTGTCTGATGCTATTCAGCACTGCCTACAGTACTGGAGACATCTGCACAGAGTGAGCACACATAAAACAGGACTTTAAGGGGACAATGCCATTCTGGTCAAGCTGGGTGTTGCAGTCTGCAACATCTGCAAAGAAATTTATTTAGAATACTGAGTTCTGGTCTAGATCTCTATTTTTCATAATGGGAGCTTAGCTTAAGCACCTTCTTGTAGACACTTAAATATAGGTGTCTTAGGAGCTTTTGCTTGTAATAGAAACAAGTCTGTTTGCACCTGCTGATGCCTGTGTGCATTGTGATGACCATGAAGCACGGATTTCTAAGCCTCTCATATAAAATAATTGTGTTCCAGGCATATATATATTTAACTGAAGCTCTTCATGGCTTGCAAAGAGTCAACCCTAGTGCTAATCACGCTTACCTGGTGAAGTCCTGTTTCAGCTGCGAGACTGGGGTAGACCACGGCGTTATTAAGAGTTATGCTGCTTTGATAGTGAATATGTCTGTGCATGACACTGTCCTTTCTCTTAGGAAAGCCATTCATTGCTTTGCCACCTCCTTAAATTTAGGAATCGATCCAAGTATGGATTCTCAAGCCATTACGCCGCCAATTCACAAACGTGTCTGGGCAAAGCTGCACTTGAACAGGCATTAGCACTTAACTCATGGACCCTTGTGCTGGCTGTGAAAACTATCAGTTTTTTGGGTTTAGTTATGTTCAGAAGGAGAAGTGAAAAAATATATATTCTTGTTACTTCAGTTTACTGCTGGAGCCTTCATGGAGGTGAACAATTCAGCTGTTAACACCGCTTTGTTATTTGTGGCAACACTTCACCGATTTCATGGTACTCATTATTCTGCATGGCTTTTACTCCTACCCATCGCTCAGGAATGGCAGTGTGTAGGTTCTTGCTATTGTGTCCTTTGTCTCACGCCATTGCTGGTGCTGTGGGAGCCAGGGTGCACAGGAAGCCAACATGTGAGTCCAAGCAATCCAGCTAATTCCTGCTCCAGCCCCTTCAGTAGAGAACTGTCATCCAGTTCCTTGCTGTCTCTCCAAAGTGGGGCAATGCTTTCTGTTTTTCAACCCTAGAGGAACATAATACAAAGAGGTCCCCACAGTTGGCTGATGCAGAGCTTCTCCTTGTACTTTAGCAGTTAACTTCCTCATCTTAATTGGTGTTATCAGTGAGCCAAGTTCACCTGTCCTGCTCCACACTTGGATGGAAGTTTATTCACTGTTTTTATATATCTGGACAAGTGGGAAGTAAAGCTATCAAATGTTCCCCCCAGATCTCATAAAACATTTTGATGTTCTCATTTAATTTTCTATAGCCTGCTGGTGCAGGATGATGAGTTGGGGCTCCCTCTTTCTGACTGTGTGAAGAAACTTCATGTTGCCAATTGGGTCAGAACTGACTTACTTAAAAGAACAAACACATGTATAAAAAGTAGAAGGAAATAAAACTTGCTAAAGTGTCTCAGTTTTAAGATTAGATGAGACACTTAATGTATCTGTAGTGAAAACACAATCTCCATAGTGAACTGGAGGAGGGAAGAGCCCTTGGCAGTGTCAGGGAATGCTGTGGGCAGCAGCACTGCCTGGCCAGTTGGATGTTCTGCTGTCTTCTGCCATGGCAAGGTCAGTGTTTGATGTAATCTTATGTGCAGTGTTTATTTTACACCTGAAAAAAGATCATTGTGGACTGCCCACAGCTGCAGAAAAGGGACTGGGATATTTGAGGAGTCTCACAGTCACTAAGCCAGGAGAAAGAAGCTATAGGCTTGAATGTATTTTGCCCAATGGCTTTCAGGTCTACTTGGAAGATCTCCCTCCTACAGCAGTTGTGCACCTCTGAAACTGATGTTTTTCCTCACAATTTAATTTCCCCTAGATGTTTCTAAAGCCTATTGCATGTGGTTTTGTTGTTTGGAAGATGCAGTTCATCCTCTTTTCCTGTATCACCATGATGATATACTGCAGTGGCAACATCTCAATTATTTTTGTTTGTTTTTCTCCACATGCCATTGCTCTACACAAGTGACTTGCCATGGGAAATGTGGCACTGCTTTTTTTAGCAAAACTTCTGTCACATAGCATCAGTGTTAGGTGTAGAATTTTTGGGTGTGTCTTTTTAGGATTTTTGTGAATATATGTGATTTCCAGAAATTATTTCATTCCTGATGATGTAGATAAGGACTGAGATGAATAATGGTGCTTAGCATCTCATACAGACTGCAACATAATTTTTGGAAAACTTTCAGTCAAAATTAGTTTTATTATTAACTGTTAATAACTATGTATTGCTCATTTGCAGGGTAACCAAATAAAGAAGGAAAAATTCTAAATATAAAAGGGAGGAGAAAGTGTTTATTTTGATATATAAAAGTGAAGAGAAAGTACTCCTTTTAATATTTCAGTGATTTAGAAGTCAGCCTCACCTGACTGAAAGAACATTAAAGGAAGTGAGAGCAAGTGAAATTATGCAGTACTATAGTGTGGAGACAGAGGAGTTAAATGAAGACATTTTATTTGCTTTAAGAGAGTGAATTATTAATCACTATCTGAGTAGAGGAAAATTTATGGATTTTTTCTGTCTTTTAGGCGCCTATGAGATTTTATTCCAAGCATGTTCTTTAGCCAACCAGCCATTCCTCCACAAAATCAAAGCAGACTTGACATTGCTGATAATCCAAAGATTTAAGAGAAGCTGGATTTCGAGTGCAGTTTATTTTCACAAAGAAATAATCATACAATGCCAGCTTTTTTCAAAAGATGCTTTTTAAGGACTCGATTGAAACCCAACTGAGACTGATTGAAGTAATCACAGGATTTTCAGTTGGTCTGTAGTCAACATAAAAATTCTTGTTTCCACAAGTCTAAACTCTTACCCCTCTCCAATAAGCTGGCATTGAACAGTTCAGAAGTAGTAGTGGAGAGTTTTTACATTATATTTTATTTGAAATATATTTACATTATATTTTAATTGAAAAACACAAGCATATTTCCAAGCATTGTTTTCTTGAATCCAATTTCAAGTTATTAGTCCTACATTTGAGCTGTAAGGTCAAGGGGCCAGTTTTATTTCTATTTATTTTTTACAGTTACACATAGTGTGTAGCTACTTCTTAAAGGCAAAAAAAAAAAAAATCAAAAGAAATAATCAATTTAATTTTGTCAGGCACTCCTGGTTCTTCACCCCTGTGCATCACACACCCAAGGCTCTGTGTTTTGTTAGTTCTAATCTGAATTTATCAGCTGGGCTTGTTTGCTCACGTTCTTCTCTGGAAGAGAGGAGGGCACCACATCATGCCAGTATGACAGATGCAGGTTTGCTTTCTTTTCCTATTGTAAGTTTGAACTTTCCTGCTTAAGTCATTGCCTTCACTCTTCTCTGGAAATTGTCAAAGAACATCAATTTCTAGAAGTGTTTACATATCATGCTGCTGTTATATTACTACTGTGGTTTAGGAAGCTTTTGAGAAAATACTATTAAAAAAAAAATCAGTATGAGAAAGGGATTAATAAAAGGTTTGAATCTTAAAATACTGGGTGTTTAGGCTCAGCATACTCAAATGTTGCAGGTTTACAAGGCTATTTTTGTTGTTTGCTGGAACAGGTTACTGTTTTCAGCCTGGTTTGGTGCAGTTACTGTTTACTTTCTGACCATTGGTAGCTAAAAATGACTGTAGATATTACTATAGTTCCCTTCCCACAAGAACTGGTTTCCACAGGTTACTATTGTGTTGTCACCAGCTGACACCATCCATCCAGATGAGGCTTTAGATGATGCACACTAAGATTTCCTAGGAACCAATTTGCAGGAAGGTTTCAATATCCATTGCAATGGTGTCTGCCTTTATTAGCTCATTAAAATATTTCCTAAATACTACATTATGAAAAGTCATCTGTTTGTGGAAATAAAAAATGCCAAGCTTACTGTCTGTTTGCTCTTTCTATGTTGTCCATGACCCTGGAAAAAAGGTTTTTTAGAGAGAACCAGGAAAATAACGACATCAGAAAAACTGACCAGAGGCAAGTAGCACGTAACCAATTGACACGACGTGCTTTAGGCACTGAATGTTCATTTTCTACTCCTAGTGTATGTTGAACTCCTCCTCACTATAAATCTTCAATCAGAATGATTGAATTGAAAAAAAAAAATTCAGTCAGAATGAGCCATTTGTTGTTTTTTTTTTCATTAATGCAGGGGTGGACCAGGCGTTACCACAAGAGCGTCGAACTCCTGTCACTCCATCCTCTTCCTCTCGGTATCACCGTCGCAGGTCCTCAGGGTCACGGGATGAGCGCTACAGATCGGGTGAGTGGGACTGAGGACCCCGGAACTGGAGTGAAAATTTGAAATGTCTTTTTTCTGTTCCTCGCTTTTTTAAAAAGGAGTTTGTTGTAAACTCATGTAGCTATACATGGGGAACATTCACTGTGTGAATAGACACCGTCCAAGTGGGCAGGGGTGGAGTTGCAAAGCCAAGATACATCTGGAACTAGATCTGGCAGTGAGCATGAAGGGCTGCAAAAAGGCTTTCTACAAGCACATCAGTAAAAAAGGGAAGAGCAGGGAAAACATGGTCCCGCTGCTGACTGGGGCAGGAGACCGGGTGACAAAGGGCATAGAAAAGGCCAAAATAATCCAAGATAATGTATCCTTTGCCTTGGTCTGTGCTGGTGATATTTGAGTTCTGGAAACCAAGGCATCTGAGACCATCCTGAGCAATGACAACATCTGTGAAGGGAGGTTTCTGCAGACTGAGAGAAAGCAAGGTTCATTGCTGTCTTCAGGAACAGCAAGAAATAGGATCTGGGAAACTACAGGCCAGCCAGACTCTCCTCAATCTCTTGAGCAGGTGGTAGAGCGAATAATGCTGGAAGCTCTTTTTAAATATATGAAGGACAAGGCCATGATTGGGAGTAGACAGCGTGGATTTACAAAGTTCTTTTAGTAGGTTGGTCAATTCATGCTTGATCAGCCTAATGACCTCCTGGAAAGAAATTGCTTCCCTGGAGGTTGAAGGAAGAGCAGTGGAAGTTGGATGTATGACTTCAGTGAGGCTTTTGACAGTGTCTCTCATAACTGACAAATTTTTGGTGAAATTTGGGTTAGATAAGTGGACAGCGAGGTGGTCTGAAAATTGGCTGTAATTGAGTTCAGATAGTTGTGATCAGTGACACAAAGTCCAGCTGGACACAGTCTCTGATGGGTACTGCAGGGAGTGAATACTGTCTCCAGTACCCCTTAATAGCTTCATTGCAGGTGAGACAGTGCCCTCTTCATACACTGGCAGATGATAACAAATTGGAAGGAGTGGTTGATATAATGCACATGTGTAATGCCATTCAGAAGGATCTGGGCAGCTCTGAAACTTCTTTACTCTAACCTTTGAAGGAGTAGCTGCATGTACTACACCCTAACAGGATGAAGGGTAGGTGTGCTCAGCTGTTGTTTGAACTGCTTCAGGGGCTGCTGCTGAATGAGCATCCTCCTCAGATAGCAGCCTGAGGTCACAGGCTGGTTCATCTGGTGCTGCCTCTCTTGCAGCTGCAGAATTAGGGAGCCATAGACAGCAGCACCCACCAACCTTTGTGGCAGAGAGACCCTGGTGAGCTGAGAGTCAGAAGCCAGGGTCTGATGGTTATGGAGGGTCTTGAGGAGAATAAATTTAACAGTGGAAGCTCTGGATTGTGTTTGAGAGATGCCTCTTGCTGGATGCACACTCATTCAAATATGAAAAATTTGACTTAAGCATAAGAATAACCTTTTTTTTCCTCTAAGAGTGGTTGAGCACTGGCACAGGTTGTCAAGGGAAGTTGTGGTGTCTCCATCCTTGGAGCTATTCAAAACCCCACTAGATGTGGCCGCAAGCAGTGTGCTGTAGCTGACCCTGCCTAGAGCAGGGAGTTGGACTGGATGGTCTCCAGAGGTTCCTGCTGACCTACTCCAGTCTGTGGTTCAGTGGCACAGCTGAATTTTACTGTACTGATTCTAGTAATGCTATAAGAAAAATATTGAATTTGCAGTATAGCAAGTTGGGAACATCATTATGCCCTAAATAGAAGCACTGATTAAAGGAAGATAAAATTAATTTCAGAGCTGAACAGAAGGGTAATAACTCATTTCCAAGTGAATGGGATCCAACTTTCTTCGTGATACTGCTCCAGATATAACACAAAGTGAAGGAAGTGATTGGTTTAAAAGTAGTTTATAGTGCCTTGTCAGAACAAGAAAGACATTGAGGTGCTGGAGCATGTCCAGAAAAGGGCAGTGAAACTGGCAAAGGGTCTGGAGCAAAAGTCTTGTGAGGAGCAGCTGAGGGAGCTGGAGGTGTTTACCCTGGAGAAAGGGAGACCTTATCACTCTGTACTACTCCCTGAGAGGAAACTGGAGACAGGTGGGGTTCAGACTCTCTTCACCAGAAACAAGAGATAGGACAAGAGAAAATGTGCCAGAGGAGATTTAGATTGAATATTAGGAAAGAATTCTTCACTAAAGGAGTTGTCAACCATAGGAACAGGCTGCCCAAGGAAGAGGTGGAATGACCATCCCTGAAAGTGTTCAAAAGGCATGTGGGTGTGGCTCTTGGGGGTGTGGTTGAGTAGTGAACATGGTGGTGTTGGGTTAATGGTTGGTCTCGATAATGTTATCTTTCTCAACCTTAACAATTCTGTGACTCTATAAAATAAAGATGAGCTGTGAAACTTTACTCTTTGAAGGTGTAACTGCATGTGCTACACCCTAACAGGATGAAGGGTAGGTGTGCTCAGCTGTTGTTTGAGCTGCTTCAGGGGCTGCTGCTGTATGAGCATCCTCCTCAGATAGCAGCCTGAGGTCACAGGCTGGTTCATCTGGTGCTGCCTCTCTTGCAGCTCTTGCAGCTGCAGAATTAGGGAGCCATAGACAGCAGCACCCACCAACCTTTGTGGCAGAGAGACCCTGGTGAGCTGAGAGTCAGAATCCAGGGTCTGATGGTTATGGAGGGTCTTGAGGAGAGTAAATCTGACAGTGAAAGCTCTGGGTTGTTTTTGAGAGATGTCTCTTGCTGGATGCAGTCAGGCTCATTGTGCTGACACAACTGGAAAATTGTGGAGAACTCCTTATTAAACCTTTTTTAACATATCTCTGGCTCATTCCATTAGTCAAAGAGCTTGCCAGTCCCATTTAAAGGAAAATTAAATGATAAATGTGGTAGAGAAAGTTCATGTGTGTCCAGACCATTCTGATAAATTTTTAAAGCTCCCTCCTCCCTTCAGAAATCCTGGATTCATACTGTAGATGTTGCCAATTTTTTGTTGAATAATGGTTGTGGTATCTGCATAATAATTCCTTGATATATAAGCTCCTAGAAGCTTCTCCAACATTTCACTATAAATGGTCTGATTTCTACCCAATGTTTTTAAATAGGTAAAAAAATACTATTCCTGAACTTGCATAATTTGTGGGTGTTCAACACATGGTCCTCAAATCTCCAAGCTGTGACTCGCCAGAGCAGTTCTGTTAAAAACATATGCATTTGACTGTGAGTCGAAAGTCACCTGCTTGAGCTGTGTTGGCCATTTGTAAACGAAGATGTTGAGTCAGTTTGGGAACTGGCAAAAGGAGACATCCTGCATATCTTCATAGTGTGCCTCTTCTGAGACCCCAACAGTGCTCTGAGTTAGTTAGTGTTGCTGCCTCTTGGTTTCAGTTGCTGTCTGCTGCCTTAAGAGGAAAGCATTTGTTCAGTGAAAAGGTACATAAGGTCCTGTCTTTGGGATGGGGAGAGTTGTAATTGTAAATGTATATAAATAATAAAGACACAAGCTTCACTGCTGAGAAGAAAAGCAAGGAATTCAGTATAAAGGGCTGTTATTAGTGCAAGAGTCTCACTTTAGAAGAGTCAGAACTATACTATAAATTCAGATCTTGCAGCTCTGAAAACATTCTCAGTGTTAAAACTGAAAAGCTTGACAGTGTTTTGGGGACTTCTGGCAAAGCTCTGAATTCCTAGCTTGGTTGCTGTATAGCATGATTCCTCAGCAAGGCACTGTGCTCTCCAGCAAACTGGTTTGAGCAACTCCTGCATCTTCACTCACTCAAAATAAAACCAAATGTAGCAAATGTCAGTGAAAGTAAATGTAAGTATACATTTCAATTTTGAGAAATTATCAGATCATCTTCAAATTTACTTTCAGAGGAGCTTTCCTAAGTTACAGCACAATATTCCACCCTGAAAAAAACCCAAACCAACCCTAAACTATGTCCTCTCCTATGTATTGCCCCTGTGAGATCAGAAGTCTGTTTCTTTCTTGGTCTCTTAGTTACTCAATTATTACTGTAGATTGCTAACTTGCAAGTCAGATTGCATTCTGGTTATCAGGTTTTCAGATCCAGATTTGCTTCAGGTAGAAGTCTTTGTTTGGCTTGTTGTTTTGCTGTGCTTAATACTTCAGCATCTCTGCTCTCATCACATTGTGATTGTTAGATCCTAGCTGTTACCTAGTGTTTGTTATCATATTTGGCACATCTACTTGGAAAATGCTGCAAACAAAATTAATACACACTCTTTAACCAATAAGGAATTCACATCTAGGAAAACATTTCCCTTCCTTAGTGTTTTTGCAGTTTATTTCAATTAACATCTGCAAATAAATCTCCCATTCCAACTCTGATCAAAGTCCTTTTCTGTCTCTTCTTGGTAAGGTTTTCCTAATTGGAAGTCTGAGATTCTGAAAGTCATCCAGTTCTCCTTCCATGCCTTTGCTTTTTATGTGGATTTAGATGTCAGCAAAGATTGTTTAATGAACTCTCTTTGGAGACTCAAAATCATTGCTGCCACTAATATCACCTTCAACTTACTCTCATGTATTACACAAAATGTCAAACTGTGACATTTTTAATCCCTACTTGTTTTCTTACTTATATTATTATTATTATTATTATTATTATTATTATTAGTTCATTAAAGTTGTAACTAAATTTTTCAGCACTATAATTTTGAAAACCTGCTTTCTATGATTTTATATTCTAAATAAAATTGACACTTGAGTTTGTGGACACTATTTTTTTTTCCCTAAATGTGCTTGGGATATTTTTTGTTTCAAGATAATTGGATTTTAGAATTCAGCCTACAATGAAAATTTAGTCTAATTCTTTAAAACCAAAAAGGTTTAAAATTTCCTGGCTGCTTCTTTTTATACAGGAAGGGAGCCTGAAACCACTAGGTTTCAAAATGTCAGCTTTGATCATTTCTCAGATGTCTAAAGAATTAGAAAATGCTATAAAATGTAGTAACTGAATTAGTGCAGGGTTAAGTGATGTTATTTACT